TGCAGTTGTTGGAAAGGTAAAATTAAAAATGTGTAGAAACATTATCTCGATTTCACTCTCAGCAGATGATGGTTGACCTATTGAGTGTGTTTAGTATTCTTTTTGCCAACGATGCTGTGAGAAGGAGATATCCTCTGACTTTAGGGACCATAATTTCCCCTTCTCTGTATTTAAGGATGCCCTCAAATGCATCACTTCCATTTCCTGCACATCTGTCTTCAAACCACCTCCTCCCAACAGCAATAAGGATCAAGCCCCTTGGTCCTCACATACCACCCCACCAACCTCCAGATCCAACGCATCATCCTCCCACATTTCCGCCACCTGCAATCAGACCCCACCACCAAAAAGATATTTCAATCCCCACCCCTGTCCGCTGTCCTCAGGGACTGTTCATTCCACGCCTCCCTCATCAGCTCTACACTCCCCAGCAACTTCTCTACCACACTCAGTACCTTTCCCTGCAACCGCAGGAGGTGCAACACCTGCCCCTACCCCTCCCCTCTCACCTCCGTCCAAGGCCTCAAACAATCCCTCCAGATCTGGCAGAAATTCACCTGCACTTCATCTAACATAGAACATAGAACATAAAACATTACAGCGCAGTACAGGCCCTTCGGCCCTCGATGTTGCGCCGACCTGTGAAACCAATCTGAAGCCCATCTAACCTAAACTATTCCATTATCATCCATATGTTTATCCAATGATCTATTGTATCCGTTGTTCCCGATGTGGTCTCCTCTATATCAGGGAGATCAAATGCAGACTCTGGGACCAGTTCGTGGAGCATCTGCGCTCTGCACACATCAACCAACCTGACCTTCCAGTTGTTATCCATTTTAATTCCCCCTCCCACTCCCCTGAGGACATTGTCCATCGTTGGTCGCCTCCACTCTCAGAGTGAGGCCAAGCGTAAACTGGAGGAACAACACCTGGTATTTCGCCTTGGGAGCTTACAACCCAATGGCCTTAATTTTGACTTCACCAGCTTGAAAGTCCATCTACCTCCAGCCTTATTCCATGTCCAGCCCTCCCCCTTCTGATGTGACCTAACCTGTCCATCTTCCTACTCACGTATCTGCTCCACCCTTCCCATGGGCCAATCACAGTAACTCCCATCTGCATTCACCTATCACCATCTCTCCTATCCTTTCCCCAGCCCCACACCCCTCCCTCTATTTATTTCTGGGATCCCCCCCCCACCTCCTCAGTCCTGACGAAGGGTTTTGGCCTGAAATGTTGACTTACCCGCTCCTCAGATGCTGTCTGACCTGCTGTGCTTTTCCAGTCTCACACCTTTAAATGGGGTTGAGAAAGATGCCTGAGTTCACATGTTGCACACTGTCTATTTGCTTTTTGATTTCCTCGCTGCACTGTCCTCCTTGTGGGCTGTTCATATATGCTGGTGATTACACAGCTCATTAACTGTTTGAGAACCGTGAGATTGGCCACCAAAGTATTGGCTCATCAGCCAATTCTGACTGGGTGAGATAATTGAATTTGTGAGGCAGGAATCCTTTCACAGCACACCGAGACTTATTTGTTTATAGTCATTTCAACTGACAAATAATGCACAAACTGAAATGAAAAATATTAATGCTGGAAGTACTGGGCAGGTCAGATAGCCTCTGTAGAGGGAAACAGAGTGAATGATTCAGAGCAAGATGACTTTAATCAGAAGCATTGACGTCAAACATTAAGCAAACCTAAGATTCTGCCTGACTGCTCAATGTGACCAAGCCTTCCCAGCAGGCATTGCATTTAGTTTCAGGTCCTCCGCAAATGCAGGATTTTGACTACCTTTTTTATTGGATGGATGTTAAAACCTGTATCTAAAGGAGAAATATTTGGCAATTGTGGTGCTGTTCATACAAAATAAGCCTACGTGCAGGATTGCCTCCTGACAGCAAAGTGTTCTTTTACAAATAAGTCATGCCTGTGGATATCAGTTCTGCAGTCTAAGCGATGTACTGCAAAGCCAACCATTGCTCAGGCACCCCATCATATTCTCACAATTTGCTGATTCATGGGTCCTGGAATCTCTTTATTACTGTGTTTTTATGATTCATCACACTTCTTTCCAGACAGGCCTGACAACTTGTGTAACTTTGGATCACAAGCTCTGCTCTCTTTCTCACGAGGTGGCATTACAGCACGATCTGTGAGGCAAGTATTCGAAAAGCGGATCAATGTTTTTTTTCAATCATGGTGGGTCGTCAATGACGGCGTCACTAGCTAGGTCAGCATTTATTGCCCATCCCTAATTGCCCAGAGGGCAGTTAAGAGTTAACCACATTGCTGTGGGTCTGGAGTCACATGTAGACCAGACCAGGTAAGGATGGCAGTTTCCTTCCCTGAAGGATATAAGTGAACCAGATGGGTTTTTCTGACAAGCGACAATGGATTTGTGGTCATCATTAGATCCTTAATATTATTGAATTCAAATGCGGCAAAATGACAGTCTGTGGACATAATGTCTCTTCGACGTTCACACAACAGCAACATGTATAACTGCAAAAGAGCATGGGACTTAACTTGCATTGGGAATTAAGTAAAGTGAATTGCACTGAATTTACAGAACAGAAAAACACATCACTCACCCAAATGGTCTATGCTGGTGTTTATGTCCCACACAGCCCATCATTCTTCATCTAACCCCATCATCTTATCCTTCTCTTCCTTTCTCCACAGGTGTCTACATAGCTACCCCTCAAATGCATCTATTTTATTTGCTTCAACGTAGCACTGCAGTGGCAAGTACCATATTTCGACTTTATTGGAGTTATTAGAGGCATCTAACGTTTATGACTTACAGTTTTAGATTCTCCACAAGTAGAAATATCTTCTCTGCCCAATTAAATCCCTTTATAATTTAAAATCTATCAGTAGTTGGTCACCCCAGATTGACTATTCAGAATTCCCTGGCATTTTAAGCTGTCAAATTGACCGTCAACCCTGTAAATCGTTTTTTCCACTTTCACCATGCTGCCATTTCCTTCTTGCTATATGGAGATCCGACTATGCACAGCGTGCCAGGAGTGTTCTAACACATCTTTACTTAAATTTAAAGGCAGAATACTGCAGATGATAGGAATATGAAATAAAAACAGATAATGCTAGAGAAACTCAGCAGGTCTGGGAACATCTGGGCAGAGCGAAACAGAGTTAGTGTTTCAAGTTCTGTATGACTCTTCTTCAGAAACCAATTGTACATACATGTATAAGAATCTCCCTGAAGTTCCAATGTTTTGCTTACATATTTTATGAGATCTATTAATTTGCATTGTTTTTAATTGCTTTTAATGATTTGAAAATGTGGATAGCTCATTTTGTTCAGTTCTACAACCCATTTCGACTCTTACCTTCCAAGGAGTATGTGGCCTAATCCATCCAAAAACATTCACTCACATTACATTTATCTAAATTATGGTATGAGTCGAAATGGGTTGTAGAACTGAACAAAATGAGCTATCCACATTTTCAAATTATTAAAAGCAATTAAAAACAATGCAAATTAATAGATCTCATAAAATATGTAAGCAAAACATTGGAACTTCAGGGAGATTCTTATACATGTATGTAAAATTGGTTTCTGAAGAAGAGTCATTCATAGGCCCATTCCTGCAAATTTACTAGTGTCCTCATTTATTTTGCAGCAATTCTCCTCAGTATGAACCAAAGCCCCCAATTTGATGCCATCCACAAATTTTAAATTATCACTGCCCTTTCCGAGGCTTTTGGGTCCCAGCACTGAACCTTGAGGTATATACCTTCCACAAATATATGGAAGGACCTTTAACCCCATCGTTTAGTTATCTGCTTTGCAGTCAGCTCTATTCCAGTTCACTTAACATTTTATGTAGAATTCCTAATTCCCATGGAAAGAGAACAATATGGACATTTATCAGCCCTTACTGACATCTTATGAGGAAGGGTCACTCAACCCAAAATGTTAACTCTGATTTCTCTCCACAGATGCTGCAGACCTTCTGAGCTTTTCCAGCAATTTCTGTTTTTGTTTCTGATTTAAAGTATCCACGGCTCTATCGGTTTCCTTATTGTTGTCTGTTTTCATTCATTAGTGAAAGTGTTAATTGTCCAAACATAGACAGTCCAATAGTAGTGATAGAGCAATCACATGATGATCTATTTAAATACAGGTTCTTTCTTTCACTGGAATATGCCAGACATTTAATCACTGGCTTCTACTTTCACTTGCAACCAGAAGAGTAGAGGTGTATTGAGGAGGGAAAGGATTTGGTGGCTTAAATAGCCTTCTATATTCTTACGAAGGAATATTAACAAGGTCACTCAGTTCATCATGCTTTGTTAGAAAGCAACTGTTTGTTGTCTTCAATTACAGCATCTCATGTTTCATAAAAATAGTCACTGAGTGCAACTAATGCCATGTGAAGTGCATTAATTTGGACAGAGCGTGTTACAGGAATTTCAATCCTTCTTATGTGCAGTTGATGGTTTTCACAAAAGGCCAAGGAGTTGGTGAATATTCTGACCAGGTATTATCTAAATAATAGCAATAGCAATAATTGAGGAGGCAATGGCCTGTTCGTATTAGCACGAGCCTATTAAACCAGATACCCCAGTAATCTGGCCACCCAAGTTCAAATCCCACCATAGCATTTGGACTCAATTAAAAACCTGAAATTAAGAGTCTAATGATGACCATGAAACTGATGTTGATTGTTGGGTCTACATATGACTCCAGACCCACAGCAATGTGGTTGACTCCTAACTACCCTCTGGGCAATTAGGGATGGTATAAAATGCTGGCCTAGCCAACAATGCCCACATCCCATGAATAAATAATTTTAAAAAAAATCTCTATTTACAACCTTAAAAATGGCATTAGTTTCAAGAACGAATTTAACAATGAGAAAACTTAATGAAACATTGATAATATATTTTTGGCAATGAGAAGATATTAATTGGATGTTACTTGTGGTAAAATGGACACCATATAAACCAAAAACTGAACGTACCTTTTTAACATTGTATGCGAGTAGCACATACTTCATATCTGGTGATACTTCGTATCTGCTAACTTTAAATTCTTCCTGTTAAAATAAAGAAATGGTTCAGTTAAGTAACCATAGCTCAAATTAGAAAACTAGTTTATCTAAGTCATTGGTATATACTTTGAAGCCAAGTATTATCATCCATACATAAGTCAGCCGGTCAATAAAATTTCTTTCTTGACCCCAGGCATGCTGTCAATGAGCATAAAACTCTCTTGATCATGAATTTTTGATCAGAAAGTATTCCTTTTCCATGGCAGCCAGCACATTCTAGGGGAGCCACATTATTTTATTTCTCAGTCTCTCTCTCCTCGTAAACTTTCCCTTTTCTTGGTCCATTAAAGGTTGAGTCTAGGGAATTGGCAGAGATTTTGAACAAATATTTTGTACCCGTCTTTGTAGTGAAATCATCCCAATTTTTAATCTGTAAGAGAATCAAGGGTTATGAGGAAAAGGCATGATCTCATTGAACTGGGAACAGACTACATCTTATGGTCTTAATAATGGAAAGTCGAGATACAAAAAGAGAAAAGGAACTTTTATCAAATATGAGCACTAAAAAAAACAGCTTGGAAAACTGGAAGGACAGAAGATTGATAGGTCTCTAGATCCAATAGCCTGCATCCTTGGGTCTTACAAGGAGTGGCTGTGGGGAAAATGGATGCAAACTTCCAAAAATTCCCAACATTCCAGAAAGATCAGAAAGCTGTAATTGTAAATACTCTGTTCAAAAAAGGAGGGAGACAGGAAGCAAGAAACTACCAGTTAGTTAGTCTAATATCTATCATTGGGAAAATACTAGAATCTGTGACTAAGGAGGAAGTAACAGGTCATTTAGAAAATCAGAATAAAATCAGGCAGCATCAACATGGTTTTGAGAGAGGGAAAGGGTGTTTGAGAAGCTGAATAGTGTTTTTTAAGGATTTTACAAGCAGAGTGGTCAATAAGGAACCAGTAGATGCAATACATTCAAAATTTGCCACATAACAGGTTACTGCAGAACTCATGTTATTGGGCTAGTTCTAAACAAAGAAATCAAAGAACTGCAGATGTCGGGAGTCAAAGGCAAAAATAGAAAATTCTGGAAACAATTCAGCAGGTCAGGCAGCATCTGTGGGGGGAAAGCTTTTTGCTCTCACCAACTTGGTTGAGTTTTTTTGAGGAGGTGACACCAATGATTGATGAGGGAAGGGCAGTGGATATTGTCTACATAGTAAGGCATTTGGTAAGAGTGAGCTGGCTAGATGGATACAAAATTGTCTTGGTCATAGAAGACAAAGAGTAGCGGTGGAAGGGTGCTTTTCTGAATGGAGATCAGTAACGAGTGGTGTTCCACAGGGATCAGTGCTGGGACCTTTGTTGTTTGTAATATATATAAATGATCTGGAGGAAAATGATTAGTAAGTTTGTGGATGACACCAAAATTGGCAGAGTTGCAGATAGTGAGGAGGATTGTCAAAGGATACAGCGGGATGTAGATAGTTTGCAGGTTTGGGCAGAGAAATGGCAGATGGAGTTCATTCCAGACAAATGTGAAGTGATGCATTTTGCAAGACTGTATTCAGGTGTGAATTGTACAAATAAATGGCAGAACCCTTAGGAGCATTGATATACAGAGGGATCTGGGTGTATAGGTCCACAGATCCCTAAAAGGGGTAACACAGGTAGATAAGGTTGTGAAAAGGCATATAGCACTCTTGCCTTCATCGGCCAGCGCATCGAATATAAAAGTTGGCAAGTTATGTTACAGCTGTACGCAACTTTAGTTAGGCCACATTTGGAATATTGCATGCAGTTCTGGTCACCACACTACCAGAAAGATATAGATGCTTTGGAGAGGGTGCAGAGAAGGTTAACCAGGATGTTGCCTTGTCTGGAGGATTTTAGATGTGAGGAGAGGTTGGATAAACTTGGATTGTTTTCATTGGAAAGACAGAGGCTGAGGGGTGATCTGATAAAGGTCTATAAAATTATGAGCGGCATAGATAGGGAGGATAGTCAGAGGCTTTTTCCCAGCATGGAAACATCAACTACCAGAGGGCACAGATTCAAGGTGAGAGGGGGAAGGTTGACGGGAGAACTGCGGAGAGAATTTTTCACACAGAGGGTGATGGGTGCCTGGACCGCACTGCCGATGGAGCTGGTGGAAGCAGCCATGTTAGCAACATTTAAGGCTTTCTTGATAGTCACATGAACGGGAGATGAACAGAGGGATGGAAAATGCGCATGTGCAATATATAGTGGGTCTAAATAAGGACTAGGAATCAGAGCAGGCTTGGTGGGCCAAACGGCCTGTTCCTGTGCTATATTGCATTGTCAATACTGTATAAGTTCCTGATCTGTGTTGTTCACTGAACAGTAAGTAAGACTTCAATCACATTTAATCTCCACAGCAGTAAATTCATTGTGTAGAAAACAAGTCCCCAGACTTGATAAAATCTTGTAGCATTTTTATCAAGTTTTACAACCCACATCCAATTCAGCATGTTGAAGTAGGTTCAACATTCAAAAATTATGCTGACTGCTGTTCTCAATGGGAAGACAGACAGCTGAAACATCAGCTTCCCTGCATTGGCTTTGCCTTTGGTTGATGGATAAAATCTGAAGCCATCTCTATAAAAATTGTCTACGACCCTTTCAGATATTTATTGCCACATTGAGAGTACGTTCATCACCAAAGCCACATAGTTCCATAATGTAGACCATTTGTAGAGGGCAGTATAATGGACCCAAATGGTATCAGGAAACCATATAGTAAGAAAGATGACATTTTATTCAAGAAACACTTTCACAGCATGAAGACTGAATTGTCTGTGATATACATCCAAAAATTCATTTTTGGCTAAGTAATCAGGTTAAAAATATGTAACTATATGACAATTACATAGTAACAAAAATAGACAAACTCAGTTCATAACAGGAATGTGATGAACAGGATATTCATGAAAGAACCACATTAACTTTAAAAGGTTTTAAAATATGCATACTGGGTGTCTGAAATCTCCTTACTCGGTCAAAGTCTTGCAATACCAAAAATTAGGAAACATAAGTATTAAGAATTCCAAATAAAAAAATTTTTAATCCAAGCACAAAAAGATAGGAATTTAAAGATTTTAGAACCAAGGAAAGGCCTTTTTCAAAAATCTGTTTGCAGTTTTTATTTTGATATCCATACAGCCAGCCATCACATACCCCTTCCTAATTTCATTATCTACTTCTGAATCAATGTGTTCAGAGATGTTATTACACACCTCTGGATCAGGTGGGACTTGCTTTCTGACTCAGAGGTAGGGACACTACCACTGTACCACAAAAGCCTTTTCCCAGTTTCTTTATGAGATGGGAAAGGTGGGTACTATTCCATTGACCAGAGTCAAAATGACCTCCATTTCTTCCAACCCGAATAAAAAGCCTTCGCTGGGTCCAAGCTGCAGGCAGGAGCCGAGCTCCAGTCAAAGTGTAACATACAGGCAGATTTGCAATGAATTCAAAATTCCCACCAGGCTCCCATGACCCATGAGAATATCTAAGGCCAGACTCTAAAATTATATTAGAAGGGCAACAGGGCAGTAGTTACACTGTACTTGAAATTAATGCAGAACATCAAAGGGATTGATGCTAGTTGACATTGTTCAGAGGACATACAGTAAATCTTGTTCAGTTGTACATACTGGCAGGATTGGTCTCTAAAAGGAGTGGCCTACACCTTGGTTAAGTATATCAGTCTTAGACACCAGTCTTATTGGCTGCATATGTGTTTCTGCTAACATTGTCTTCATTTATCTCTCAATTTCACTCTGTCCCTGCCTATAGGTTGGCCTTTTCTTCTATGTAAAACATTTAACTATATGACATCAACACAAAAAGAGGAATCCGAAAGAATAAAAGGAAAAGGCAAGAATGAGACATTAAAGGTGATTGTTCAGATAGGAGCCCACACGTAGTTCAGACCTCGATTCGTGTTGTAATTTCTAGATTTCTGTATTTGATATCCATGGTATTGCACTCTATAGCTAATTGAGCATCTTTGAAATCAAGGAAACATGACAACCAAGTTGCACATGGCAAGGTCAGAGAAGCAGCAATGATGCTGATCAGAAAACTTAGTTTTTGTGATGTTTTCGATTGTTACATGTCAGCCAGGACACCTTGTTCTTCTTCAAAACAGTCAATGCTTCATATCCACTTGCAAGAGCTGACAGGGACTCTGCTTACCAGTGCACTTCAAAGGCACCTTCTCTAACAGTGCAGCAGTCCGTCAGTCTGAGAACATTCCGACATCTAATGATACACAAGGCAGATCTTTTTAGCTTTATTTCTTATTTTCCTAACTAATACTTATACTCTGTATACCTGCAGTGCAGTGTCATGTTTTTTCTTAATTTTCTCTATTTTTTGTACCTAAGATTTGTACCAAAGTACTTTGTACCCAAGAGAGTGCCATGTGTTGGCAACATTGTATACTTTTCACCGTACTCCTGTTTTTTTGTAACTTGAGTACATGTGACAATAAACCTAATTCTAATTCTATAGCACATGCCTACTTCTGTTTAGGCAGATAGTTTTCCTGAAACAGGTGACCAGCCCTTCTCCAGATGCCATAGTTTGACAGGGACCATTCCACATGGATGACCAGTCAACTCTCCCACTCTCACTGCCCGCCATTAGAAGGATTTACAGGGTAATGGTCAACAGTTTCTGGCTACATTATGAACGCATCTTGCAAGCCCATTGAGTCTTGAAGTGAGATTAAATCCAGAGCTTTTGGCTCAGAGGCAGGGACACTACCCATGGAAACGCACAACCATCAACTAAGTTAGACCAGAAGACCATAAATTGTAAGAGCAGAAGTAGGTCATTAGGCCAATCGAGTCTGCTCAGTGAAATCATAGCTCATCTGACGATCCTCAACTCCACTGTCCTGCTTTTTCCCATAATCCTAGATGCCATCACTGATTAAACATCTGTCTATCTCAGCCTTGAATATTCTTAATGACTCAACCTTGTCAGCCTTCCATGGTAATGAATCCCACAGACTG